AGAAGATTCATCTCAGCTGGAAGGTGACTAGAGTTTGCCTTCCTATGTTTTGGACTTGCTTGAAATTCATGACCCCTTTCCTTCTAGATATTTCTGCATTTTGCAGAGGGAATGTCCATCCTGTGTCCACCCTTGTATTTTAAAGTGGAAAATAACTTTAGATGTCCAGGTTCACAGCTAGGAAGGAATTTTATCTCAAAAGGCACACCTGGAATTTCATGCATTCCTGATTTCAATCATATTAAGGTTGTAGGCTTAGAGGCAATACTGGAATGGGTCGTGGGTGGGATGAAGTGAATGTGTTCTGCATATGAGGTAGACTTGAAGCTTGGAGGCCAGATGACAGTTGTGTGAAGAAGTTCTAACCATTTAAAGACAAGGTCTTTGAAGTGGTAAATAAATTTATGGCCAGTGGGGTAAACCCTGATGCAGTATGACTGGTGTTCTGTAATCAGAGAACCTGAGGACATAGATGTCATGGTCAAGACTATGGGAGACCCAGGAGAAGGACTACCTGTAAAACAAGAAAGCCCCAGAAACCACAGATGCCAGCCTCCTATACAGAGGGAAGATTGTGTTGCCTGTGGCATTTGTCACAGTAGTCTTGGCAGACTAATAGGCTGTAAACCATTGAAAGGTGGGGTTACCCAGGAGTCTGTGGTCTTGAACCACATTTGTGGAGAGAGGGCCTTAGAACTATCATCTTGCTCTGGTTTCTTTTGAGTCATGAAGTAGAGCCCATAAGACTTAGATTTTCTTTTCTTTTCTTTTCTTTCTTTTTTTTTTTTTTTAATGAACCCTTGATCCAGTCTTTTGCACTAAAGTTCTGTGAGTCCTCTGAAATAAAATGGAACATACCATCCAATTGACTGAAGAAAGAAAATGCCTCTTAGTGTGGTTGGGAGTAAGGCCTCCTTGGAAACAGGGCCTGGGCCAAGAGAAAGATTAACTCTGCCTCCTCAGCAGTAGGCTGTGTCCCCAGGATTCCTAAGCCAAACAACTCTCTGAAGTGTGTGCCTGCTGACCCACTTTGTTCAGAGGGTGGCAATATTGGGTTTACATGTCCACCTGACCTGCACTCCTGCCTGCAACCCTCTGAAAGAGTAGTTGGTTCCATCTACAAACTTATATGGGTCTCAGTTAGACAGTCACGACTCCAATACCAGCCTGATCCTGTGCAGGTAGGCATAGACCACAGACTAGCTGTTAAGTAGTTGCCAAACCATCACAGTACAGCTTTGAACACCAAAGGATCAAATGATCATTGTTGTAGATGGGAAAGCAGATGTCGAGGCCTGGCTGTGTTGAGCTCCGTGGGCATTTATAGCTTGTATGCGTGTGTATGGGTGTGCTTGTGTGGACATCTGACAACCCTGGGTGTCAGTCCTCCCTTCCACCTTTAGACAGGATCTAGCTACTGTATTCAGTAGGCTGGCTGTCCAGTGAACTTCTGAGGATCCTCCAGTTTCCAGCTTCATTTGGAGCATTGGAATTAGATGTGCACTGCTGCACCCAGCTCTGACTGGGTTCTAAGGATTCTAAGTCAGGGCATCACATTACCCTGTGATGTGATGTGTAACTTCAGGGCAAGCACTTTACCCACTGAGCCATCTTTCTAGCCTCTACTCAGACATTTCTAAGAATTTCACTTGGCAGTTTGTATGCTTTGCATTTGTTTACAGTAGTCCTATAAGGGCCATTTTCATATATATTCTAGGGAATCCCAAATGACCAGAAGCCAAGCTACTTTTCTGTGTGTCACATGGCAGGTGAGGACATAGAGAATCTCAGTCCCTCCGTACAAGACTGAAGTCTGGTTTTGTTGTGTGAATTCTAATTGGTGTTAATAATAAAAATCCAGAGTCAGATATAGGGGTTAATGTTGAAAGAACAGAAAACAGAGCAGTCAACCACTAGTTCTTACTCTACTGAATCCTCAGACCAAAGTGGGTGATCCTGTCCCTACAAATCCTCAGACTGAATGCAATGAGTTCCTGTCTCTTCCCATCTTAGATTCCTCTCTCCACCCAGCCATATCACTCCTGTCTCCACCTCACTAGTGCTGAGTTTAAAGGTGTGTGGCTCCCAAGTACTGGGATTAAAGGTGTAAACCACCACCACCTGTCTCTATTTCTCTTTTAGACTGGATCAATTTATTGTAGCCAAGGGTGTCCTTGAACTCACAGAGATCCGCCTGCCTCTGTCTCCCCAGTGCTGGGATTAGAGGTGTGTGGCATCACTGCCTGGCCTCTGACTAACTTGTGGCTAGTCCTACAGTCTGATCTTCAGGCAAGGTTTATTTGTTAAACCACAAACAAAATATCAGCACAGTTGGTGGTTAAAATATGCATAGCATGAAACTTTGATTTTCAGCATGTAATAAATGCATTCTTGCTGTTGTGCAGCCATCTTTTCTCCTCCAGCCTAGCCACCATCTTTTTGTGGGTCGGTGTGCTGCTCACAGTACCTCATAGGAGTAAAATCACATAAGGTTTACCTTCTTGGTGCTAACTGTCCTTGTATAATGTCCTTGGAACTCATTCATCTATTTTATGACCTGTCATCATTCTCCTCCTGAAAGAATGAATACTCTTTTATTTTGTATACATTGCCCCATTTTGTTTTACTCACTCACCTGCCAGTAGTCACTTCCTGGTGCTTTCTTCCATGTTGCAGTCATGTGAATCACAGTGGCATGAGCATAGAGACCCCTTCTTGGGAATCCTTCAGATGTGTACTTCCCAAAGGTTGTTGCTACATTCAATAGCTTTTGAAGTGAGCTCAGTGCTCTGGAAAAACTGGTGGGGGTACCAATTTAGGAGAATAACTCTACTTATGAGCCCAACTTTCAGCTTAACTAAATGTCACCAGGGCAGTTGTGTTTCTGTACTGTTAATTTTTTTTTTTTTTTTTTTTTTTTTGAGACAGGGTTTCTCTGTGTAGTATTGTAGACCAGGCTGGTCCCAAACTCACAGAGATCCACCTGCCTCTGCCTCCTAAGTGTTGGGATTAAAGGCATGTGCCACCTGTGTTAAACTTCTAAAGGGAGCTTTCATTTATTCACTGGAATGTGTTCCTTATAAATGTTGACATCAGAACTGTTTCCTCAGGATGACCCAGATGAAGGCAGGAAATCCATCAAGCCTAAGTCTTTTGTTAGTTTCCTATTTTTTACCACATGATAAATTCATTCTGTTGAATGAAAAATCAAAGCTGGAAATTATTTTTATTTTATAAATCTTGTTCACATCTGCTAGGCTGGCTATGAACTCATGATGCTTCTCTATCGAAGTTCCAGAATGCTGGGAGTATAGAAATGTGTCATTCTAAGGGCTCACTTTGAGGCCACTCTGAGAGTAATGAGAAGAGATTTTCTTCTTAGAAGAAGCTCTGCAGTGATGCCCATTCCTCACCAGGAGGCAGGCTGTACCCATAAGCTGCTGCTGCCTCACACTTAATTAAATAAAGCATAGTGGGTTGAAGTTTAAAAACAAAAATCCTAAATAACACTAATTCAAATTCCTTAAAGAGAATAAAATTCAGCACAGCCTGTGCATGTGGTACCTGTGAGCTCCTTTCACAAGAACATATAGAAACAAATAAGATTGTTCTGTTTAGTCAAATAAAAGACCCGAGAGCAGTGTCAGTCGGAACTCTGTCAGCAGCTTGCTTAACTGACTGCTTTTTTTCCTTCCATCTATCGGCATTCTGTGTGCTTGCTGGGATTTCAGTTCTTTACCCAATGGCTGTGGCTCAGGTCTTAGCCCCTGTACCTCAGCTGCTTTGAAGTGTGGGTCTCTATGATTGTCACATCTTCTGACACCATAATGAAGTGATTCTTAGGCACAAGTTGAATGGGACTCGGTTTAGACTGGAAGCAAGATAGTGCTGCACTGGCTCAGGTCTGAAGAGTGGTGCATTGGATGGACAGGACCCACACCCAAGTTCAGTGTCACAACTTGGGAAGCGAGGCCAGGCTTCTAGCAGGTGGGTTCCTCTGGTGGCAGTTCCCCAATCTCTGACTGTCCCTTCCCACCAGAGCGCTACCCTCCTACTCATATCTACTTTCACTTGTCTAGAAAATCACATGGTGTGAAAACGAGGTGTCCTGGCTAAGAGAGATAGAAGCCGAGTATACCGAACAGTTTTAGGGTGCTGTGTCCAAAGGTCAGAATCGGGTGCCCCAGGGTATTGGCACAACCAGGACCAGCTCCCACAATAGTAACAAATATGCCTACTGTGGAAGATGAATGAGATGTTCTCAAGATTGAAATTTGAAAATTCACTCTGGCTGTTGTCATTCTTTTTCATCAAAATAAAAGTGAGCTATCTGGATGGACCTAGACATTTTCTTTTCACTGTGGAGACCCATCTGGCAGTCAACTCCACAAGGGACCTGTTACAAAGTCCAGTCTGCAGACCAGCTAACCTGGGGTTGGAGTAGAGGTGGTCTTTCAGCTTCTTTAGCATGTTCCCCCTCTCCCAGCTCAATGCCCAGGCTCCTGGAATTCCTTTAAGGGCTGGAGCTGAAATTGAACCTTTCCCCTAGGAAGTCCGTAAACATACGAGCATGCGTGTGTACATGCGCCCCCCCCCACACACACACACACACATCCTTATTGAAGAGGTATAATCCCAGCTACAGACACCAGCTTCTTAGGCATCTCCTGAGACTCCGGCTGTCCCTACAACTCTTGATGGATTCCTCACAGGTGAGAGAGAAGCATTGTCTATGTCAGGCCTTAGAGACACGCATTTCTCTAAAGCAGTTCCTGTTGATCATTCAGTCAGGCTTCGTCTTTCCAGACTCCAGCTCATGTGGATTTGCCTTCTAATACCTATTTGGTGGTAATATTGCATAGCTGGTGTTCAGTCAATCAGTTAATTATATTAATTTTCTTTCTGGAGCATATAATTTTCCAGAGTCTGGTTTTCAGTGGGTTGGCAGCCATTCCTCCTAGTGGCAACTAAATTTGGCCATTGTTGCTTTTGTTTTGCAGGAATGAGCTGGAGCGACAGTTCCTAGAATTGCTACAGTTCAATATCAATGTTCCTTCCAGCGTATATGCCAAGTATTATTTTGATCTCCGTTCTCTGGCAGAGGCAAACAACCTGAGTTTTCCCCTGGAGCCCTTAAGCAGGGAGCGTGCCCACAAGCTTGAGGTAAGTGGATTCACATACCACTGCAGTGCATTGCTCCATTACCATCTCTGTGCTTCATACTTTGTGTCTCTCAGTGTATGCTGTGAAATGAAGACATGACCCTAGATGGGTGGCTGGCCAGTTCATTAACTCAATATATATGTATACTTCATTTTAACCTCCATATGACAACTTTTACTTAATGTATACCAAGTCTATTTTAAAATGAAGATTTTTTTTAAACATTGTGTTAATGGTTTTACTTTGTTTTGTTTTTATGATTATAAGCCCACAAAAATATTTCCAAGCATGTTTTTTTTTTTTTAAAGCAGGAAGCTGCCAAGTAACCTTAGCAATTGAGAATCCAGAAAAGCTTTTATTGTTATGTTATTTCTTTTTTTCTCCTAAAGGATTCATTTGTCATGGTCTAGGTTGAAGGCTGTTGTTCTAACCTATGACTGTTTATCACAGCAAATGTATGTTTCCACCAACTCTACACCTTTGATTTATAGCAGAGAGCAGGAACGACAAAGGCAAAGTGGTGAGAAGGAACACTAGTGTGGCCCCCACCCCCACCCCTTCATTGTGTGCTGACCCTGATCTCATCCCTGTGGACTTCAGCCCGTAGGCAATGTAATCTCAGCCATAAACCCTGTTCCAGTTTGGTTTCTATGCTGTGATAAAACACTGGCCAATAACATCTTGAGGAAGAAAGAATTATACTTCTACATTGTAGTCCATCTTTGAGAGGGAAGACAAGGCAGGAACCTAGAGAGAGAAGGAATGGTGCTTTATGGTTTACTCCTCATACATTGTTATATAACCCAGGACTCCCTGTTCAGGGGTGGCACTGCCCATCAGTCAGTCTGATAGAGGCATTTTCTCAGTTAAGGTTTTGTCTTCTCTGATGACTCTAGCTTATGTCAAGTTGGCAAAAAACTAGCCAACACGAAGCCTTCGAACACAGTGGAAGATGGAAGAGACCTTCTTCCAAACTTCCTAAGGCCTTGTGGTGCTTTCTCTACTGCTTGCCTCCCTCTTGGGATTGGTGCTCAGACAAGGCCAGTAGTTGAATAAAATCAAGCTAGAGGTGGAAAGTATTTTTGGTTTTGGTTTCTATGTAAGTTTTATTTAGTATGAATTTCCATCACATTCATTCTGCTGAATACTGTTGTTCTAGTTTCCTTTCTAGTGCTGTGATAAAACACCCAGACAGCAACATGGGGGAGAAAGGGTTTAGGCTTAAAATTACTATGTTACAATCTGTTATCTCAAAGAAAGTGAAAGCAGCCAGAGACAGCACAGCTGAGAACAGAAGGAGAATAAAGGTATACATGCTTAGTGTTCAGCTAACTTACTCTACTCTTACACTGTCAAGGACACAAAGCAGGGAACAGGGTACCCATAGTGGACAGATTTTCCTGTATCAATTAAGGCAGTCAGGACAGTCCTCTATAGACAAGCCTATGGGCCACTCTCTGCTCTAGACAATTCCACAGTGAGACTCTCTCAAGTGATAGAATACCTTCCCTGTTCCTGTTCATTATACTTGAACCTTGTCAGTTTGGACAAGGTTCTAGTTTTTTCTTGAGAGTTGTTAAAAGAGCAAGCAATTAAAATAGTTTTGTTTGGGGTTTTTGTTGTTTTGTTTTGTTTTAATTTTGTATACAGGGTCTCTCTATATAGCCCTGGCTGAACTCACTATGTAGACCAGGCTGGCCTTGAACTCATAGGGATCTTCCTGCCTCTGCCTCCTAAGTTCTGGAATTGAAGTCTTGTGCCACTATACCCCTCCCCCAACAGTATTAATCTTAAGAAAGAAACTTACTTAGTAAAGCAAGGGAAGAGGCTAGGATTAACACGGAACTGCAGGGGGATTTTGATGTCATTTCACCTGTTCACATTTGCACCCCATGGCTCTTGAACATGTTGTTGTGTGGTGGAGGACAAGAGCAGAGTACCTTTGCAGGCTGGGTTTTGTCTTTTTAAAAATTACTCTCAGGTGGGCTCAGAGTATTTTTACTCTGTCTACATGTCAGAGAAAGCTATTGTTACCACACACAGTCTGGATAAAAGTAAATACTGTTACCTGTTGCTATTATGAATTCAGACATAAGCTATTTATGAGAAATAGCACTTGCTAATCTTAGGAAATTTAAATAAAAGAACTTGATCCAAAAATTCTGATGCCCTTGAAGAATCTGACTTGTGCTTTTAATGTGTTCCACCTGTATTGTGTGCACCATGCATGGAGTGAGGTTCCTCAGCCTGGTAGTCTGTCTGCTCTCCCTCTTGACCATCTGGCTTCAATATGGATACCTGTCTTATTTCTCTCCTCCAGTCCTCTTTCTCTGCTGCTGCTGAAGCTACTTTTCTAAAATGCTGTTTTGATTTTAGCATGTTCTCTTAAAAAGTACTAACATATATGTGCTGTCTGAAGACTACTACAAAGTCTTCCTGGCCCTGAGTGGTCTCTCTGTCCCTCAGAACCCATGAGTCTGGTCTCACCGACACCCACCATGTCAGTTGGCTCCTATCTAGACACCTTATCTTCTCCATCATTATAATGGCTGTCTCTCACCAATGTGGGTGTCCCTTGTAGTAGAATTGGGCATCCCCTCTCAGAGTTGGAGTTGTGGTGAGCAGCAAGGCCAGCAGAGGTGGTAGTCTTGCAGAGTCCCTTGCTGAGGAGTCCCCATGGAACTTGGTGTATGACCTGCACTGTCTTTCTCCCTCTCAGGCTATCTCTCGTCTCTGTGAGGACAAGTACAAGGACCTGAGAAAACCCACGAGGAAGCGTTCAGCAAGTGCTGACAACCTGATTCTGCCACGGTGGTCCCCAGCCATCATCTCCTAACTGGGGCACCCTCCTGAGGCCATGCCATCCCTCAGTTTCTCCTTTTGTTTGAGAAAAGATGAACTTGGGGTGGTTTGTTTTTCTCTTTTCCTTCTGTTTTTAACACCTAGCCCCATCAAGGCTGCCTTCACGCCCGCCTCCATGCTGCGTTCTGTACGCAGAGAGGCTTTAAGGGACGTGAAATCAGTGTTCTGGAACCCAGTATCAAGCCTTCTTGGCCATTGTGAACAGCACTTCTTTCATGGAGGAAAAAGACTCTAATCCTGGAGGAGGAAATGAAGGAAAGGGAAGTTGTGTTAAAGCAGAGAGTACTTGATACTGTTTCTGGGTCCCTGTCTGGTTATAGATACCAGTTGGAGCCAGAGGTAGGTAGCAGAGTTGAATGCCCATCCAAGTCGGGAGATGCACACTGTGCCCTTGGAATGGGTATGCTCTATAAGACTTCCTGCATTCCTTCTCGCTGCTTTCCTGGGACTGGGGAGGGGAGTTGTTTGTTCATTTTTATTCTGGTTTGGTTTTGATCCCACAGAGCAGAGAATATAGTTTGTACCCACCATGGCACAGACATCCAAATAAATAGTACTGATTGTTTATCTCTGCACCATCTCTTCTAGCTGTCTTCTGAACTTTCTTCCTCACAAGTAAAGTGTGCTTGTTGTTTCTACACACCTGTTTTATAAGAATGTCTTTCAACAATAGCAGGATTAACTTGACTGTAGTGCTGAACCAAAAGTCTCCCTCTCCTGCCTCACCCCAAGAAAGTTCTATCTGGATTACATGGGTGCTTGTGCCTTCTAGTTTTCTTGGAATTGGTTGTTCTTGGTTTTGTTTTTGTCACCCCTCTCCCTCCCAGGTTCTCTTTTTCTGCTAACATGAAGGTGTAATTACAAACTCAATCAGAGTTTATGGCTGAAGGCAAAGGTCCTCAGCATAGGCATCCTGGATAGAGAAGCATCCAGGGAGCCAGGTTTGCCTGACCTCATTGTGAGGAGCCGTTCCCTGTGCTCCCTACCTGGTCGTTCTTCTACTTCCATGTCCATTGTTGCAAGCAATATTCTTGACTTTTATATGTTTACTTTAAATCAAATTTAGTCTATTTGTATACAATTTTTTTAAAAATCTAAAATTAAAAAAAAAATGGGTTGGGGGGGTGGGTGGGAGGGTATTCAAATAGAAAGATCACTAAAGGGAAAAAAATGTTACTATTTCCTGAGGTATTTTTCACAGAATGATTGAATAAAAAAAAATAACAACTCAACTTGCATTTTCATTGTGGGTGCTTGGAGAAGCTACACAAACTGTGAAGGCTCATGCTTCCTTAATTATAACCAACTTTTGTGTTTTCTGACTGTTTCTGATTTGCTTTGGGCTACATCAGAATCTTTTGTTGAATAAAATAAAAGGGTTAAAAGACCCTGTCAATGAGAAAACCTGAAGTCTAATAATCCAAGACATTCATGCACAAGTGCTTTGCTTCTGCTCATCTTCTTAGGTTGCAGTGACCGAGGTTTGTGAGTTTTTCCTTGTTTGAGACACTTGAGACAGATGCTAGCATTCAGTTGGTTACACCCTCCTCTGTGTGAGCTAGGAAGAGTTTAGAATTGTCTGTTAGTTAGTGTTAAATACTCTAAAATCACATGTCTGACCCCAACAGGCTTCTCTCCATGGAGCAGCACACTTTGGAAGTGGAAGGAACAAAATGTCAAAATCCCAAGAGCCCGGAGCCAGAAATATTAGTCAGGGTTCAGTAGAGTGTGTGTTATGCAGTCATGTTTCCAATCAGAAATATGAGCAAGTTCTGGCCTAAACTTCCAAAGCAGGAAGTGAAAAATTAACTACCCTTCAATTACACCTCTGATAATTTGTTCTGAGTGGGAAACAAAGTCAGCTTCTCGCTTCAAGAACCTTAAACAGAGGTCGAAAAGTGTAGAAAATGCCATTTCGTATTCTCTCATCTCTATAACTCTAAAAGGAGCCTATTTTTCTTAGCCAAATATGAATACCTCTTAGATGAATTCCTTCCTCTCATGTATAATACCTTATTTTACCAGCCCATTTCAGGAAAGAAGTGCTGACTTGATAGCAGAAATCTTATTTTTATTCCTTTTATTTGAATGGGAGATTTGGAAATTGACTTATGTAAATATTTCAATGCACCTGATACTATTTTGTGGAGTTTATTAAACTACTTTAAAAGATTGTACAGTCTATTTATTGTATGTGGGTACACACAGTCTGATATCTGACATCAACAGTGACTCCTTACAGCCTGGCTCAGTTTTATTCAGACTGTTGGCTATTGTGTTCAAGCCTTGTGCACTGGACTCTACCTCTGAATAGGAAACTTTTCCCTACGCATCAATGAGTGTTAATCTGTATTAATTAGTTGTGTTTCTTGCACTGAGGATTTCAGTTGTACCTTTTGGCTTGAGTCACTAGGCATGTAGACCGAGACCCATTTCATTTTCCTATACAATGATAAAGACTTACTTTTTGTTCTCTGGTTGTCCTAAGTTTGCCAAAAGAAAAAGAAAAAAACAAAACAAATCCAATAGTATGTGTTAATAAATCATAGTGACTGTTACTTGTTTGCAAAGTAGTTCAGTGTCCAAGACTGGATGCTGTTCAGGAATGCTGTCTCACAGTGCAGCCTTTAATTGAGAGCGCGTCCTCATTTAAGGATGAAGAAAGCCACAGTTTGATGACTTTAGACTTGATTTAAATAGCAAATACAATTTTTTTGGAGAGAAACACACATTCTGGTAAATTTTGTTTTATTCTTTCAACTGGGAGAAGAAAGGAGTTGAGTTTAAGTGAAGTTAAAAAGTAATGAGATCCTGAAGGCCCTAGGGGTGCTTTCATGCCTTAATGCTCAGGTGAGACCAGCTATAGCCTCACACCTTTCAGCTGTTGGGCCTAGCTCTTCTGTGTTCCTTCTCCATAGTCTTTGCCTGGGACATCTCCATCTTGGGGTTTCCCTTGGTTCAGGGGATTTTTGCTGCTTAGCTGAGCTTCAAGGCAGAATTTAGTGAGTCATGATTTTGCATATTCCTGCTGCTTTAGGAACTGCAACCTGGGGCCATATTTGAAACTTTGAGTTACATATATATATTTATGTTTATATATATATATACATATTCCTAGTTCATTATAGGTATTTAATAAGTTAAATAAATATAGTACATAGAACAAATGGTGTCTGCCTTCCTGCTTTATTTTTTTTAGTTAAGATAAAATTGAACAGGTTTTCCAGGGTGGTAGCACTGACCTGTAATCCCAGTGGACTTGAGGCAGGAGGATCATGATTTTGAGGCTTCTCCAAGCTATGTAGTAAGACACTGCCTCAAAAAAATTAAAACTGAACAGGTTTTATGGGTGGTGAGTAAACTGATTCTAAGAGCAGTGTGAGAAAGTGTATGAGCCTTCGGTGATTGAAAGACTATGAGACCCACTTGGGACTTCAACCAGGTGAGGAGATAAGTTACCTAGTAGGAATCAGATAGAACACATACATCATTAAATACTGTTTCTGTTTTACAAACCACTGTCTCCTGACCTTCACTGGAGTAAGTGTCTCAAGACTGGGGCTGGGTAGTTCGTCTTCTGAAAAGCCAGTGATAGACAGTGCCTATACTTGTTGACAGAAGAGGAAACAGGAAGCATAGCCTAGAGCAGAGCTAGGGAAAGAGGCTTAGGCCCTCAGCTTCATGAAGAAAGGCAACTCCAGACCCCCATGAAAATAAAAACCGGCTCATAGTGAATGCAGAGCATATAGCAGCACTAGATTACCCCTCTCAGAAGCAAGCTGTATTAGACGGGGAGTCAGGGAGGAGTGTGTGCCCACAGTGCTGGTGACTTGACCGCCATACTCCTCTATCTTACGTGTTAGAGCTTCTTACTGGCTATGTACATGTTAAGGCCACCAGTCCTCTGGTGTAACTTACTAGAAACTTCCTCAGTAAATAGTACAAGAATGGTGTAAGAGTCACTGGGAGCTGCTTTGTGTGTGCACTGTAGCAGGGTGAACTATGCCTGAGCCAAGATTTGTTATAAAAACTGCACAGAGAGTTCTGTAAGAATCTATTTATAATAAGAAACACACTCCAACATGTTGTCTGGCTGGGTTGCAAACTATCTTGTATTCCTTTGTGATTTGTTGGGGGGCAGGGGACTTTATTCCTTTTGAGTATTTTTGTTTATATAAATAAATTATTTCAAATGTGCAATCAAAGAATGTCATCTCAAAATAAATGCAGTTTTGACAAAAATGTTAACCATGACTTGAGCTTATATGTAATAATTTTGTTGATACTGTTGATTTGTGTTGTAATAGTACTTGGAGTTCTAGTCCAAGACTAAACCTTGACAGACTACCTTCACCTCTGTCCTCTGTGGAGGTGGCTGTCAGAGACTTGCTAATACTTGAACACTTGTACTGAGTGGTTCTTATGGAATGCACCTCCAAATTCTGATAGGAAAGGGGGATTAATGTAAAGAGAGGCATAAGCCCACCTGAGTTCCCCTGTGGGTGCTAGTCACCTTTTGCAAGGTCCACTCCGAGAAAGGGTGGCCATTGGTAGATGCAGTTCTTACATAAAGGCCATGGTTGTTCCAAATTCAGCTATGTTCGATCCTTCCCCAGCTTCTCTGTTGTAGCCATTGTTGACCCTGTCCTCAAGTAGAAATCCACTGGATCTAGCCATTGTGTTCTTGTCTTGGTTGGTGAATACTGGAAAATATCAGAACAATGTCATGGATATCTGACTTCACTCCTACTCCCCGCCCAAGTGAAGCTCTTCTATGAAGAGTGCTGCTTCCCAGGGTTGCAAGCCTGAACTTATCCTGGAAGCCTAACCTTGAAAAGGGGACATTGCCTCCTCCCTTTTGGCTTGTCCCACCTATCCAGAAGATGAATAGGCAACCACCTCCCAGCATCCCACATTTGTGCCTGAGCACCAGCTACTGAAATCTATGTAAAAGTTCTTGGATTTAAGGGGTACCTGAAAGGTGGGGTAGACTCTCAAATGCTGGGGTAGACCAGTACTTGAGAGGAAAACATGATGAAGTAGTAACTAATGTGGGATACCATATTGGGGGTGAGGTCTTGGTGACCACATAACATTAGTAGATACATGACCTGGCTGGTGACAGGGATTCTGGGTTTGTCTTTACTTTGGATAATCCTAAAATTCTTTCTACTGAGATTTCCAGGAGCCTCTGGAGACTCTTAGCAGAAGTTCTCATCCAATTAATGTTTGGAGAAAAAACAGATTGGGGGATAGTAAGGTAGTGGGAAAACAGTAGTGTGTCACATACATGCCAGTCTTTTCCAGTCACCTGCAGTGTTGAGCCTACATGGTAGTCGGCTACAAGTGACAAAACCTGAAGCACTTCTAATATATTACCCAAAAAATGTGTATTTGTTTAATAAGTTAATTTTAATGTAGGCTTTAGATGATCCTTATATTGTATTCAGCAGCTTTGTATTGACCTTATGTGGTACTAGATAACTGCTGGTGTTGCCCTCAGTGCAGTGCATACAGAGAAGAAGATCTTTGCAGGAGGACTCATTAACAAACAACCCTTGGAAAGAGCTCTGCCCTC